AATGTATGGCGTCTAATCAAAAATTACCAAGTTTGCAAAGAAGCAGGAAAATATGTCCCAGAATGAAGAAAAAAAAGAATCAATCAAAACCAACCTAGATGTTTAAATTGATGGCAGGGACATTAAGCCAATGTTTAGAATGGTACTCACATAGTTTAAAAAGTTAGGCAGAAGGAAGATAGAAAGAAGACATCCAAATTGAACTTGTAGAGACGAAATCTATACTCTCTGACATGAAAATTACATTGGATAGAATTAGTGGTATATTAGACACTGCAAAAGAAAAGATTGGTGACCTTAAAGACATAGCAATAAAGAACTATCTAAAATGAAACACAGAAAAGAATATTTTCCAGAAGATGAACAGAGTATCAGTTCCAGAGGACAACTTCAAGGGCCCTCATGTACGTGTCACTGGAGTCCCTGGAAAGAGGGGAGAACATAGAGGTATCTGAAGAAATAATGACTAAAATTTTTTCCAAATTTCATGAAAACTATAAACACAGAGATCCAAGAAGCTCAACCAACCCCAAGCACAAGGAACAGGAAGAAACGGGCACCGAGGTGCCTCAGAATCAAATTGCACAAAACCAGTGACAAAGAGAAAATGTCCAAAAGAGGACACAGGACACATATGGGAACAAAGACAAGGATGGCAGCTCTTCAGTGCATGCTAATTATGAACCTTAAAGCTGTGAAAGCAAAACAAATTTGAAATACTGTAACTATACCACATGAAACTGGTTCTCCAATGTGACGTGTAGACTCACTGTTAGGGCAGTTCCCAAAGAAACACTCCAGAAATATTTTGAACCAAGACTGATATAAGTAGTATTAGACTTCCAAGATGCCTTCTTTGGAAGAAACAATGCTCAGTTTATTTGTATATGTAAATGTACAACAGTTTCATTTTGTTTAACAAAAGCAATCTGATTACTTGGTCATGTTTTGTATATAATTCCACGTATTTCAATCTGCTTTCTGTACTGTTGAAAGCCAATTTGAATGTTTACTTAAGATTAGGCTAGGTGGGGTCCACTTGACTTAAGGAAATCATGGCTCTTCTTGAACTTCATTGTAATTTTTCAGAAGCGTTCAGGAAGTCCTCATTTGCATGACACTATATATGTTCCAGTAGCTTACAGTCCGAGATGGCCCTCAAATTGGTCTTATAGTCAATGGAAAGGAAATTTAGACAGAATCTCTGGGAGTGTTAAATTGTCTGGGGACACAAAAGAAAAGGATGATTTCTGTGTCAGTGAGTGATGGAATCTACGCAGGAGCTACAAGTTTACCTGCACAGGGTTGCCGGGAACATGTTTACTCCTAATATCCAGTATCTATATCAGAAGATACAAATGTATCTGATTCAAAAATGTGGGTGTAGTTTAAATTATACCTCTATTCAATTCTACACTAGTTGTGACTCAGGGGGAGTATCCCAAGATTGCTACATTGCTAGATGACATTAGTCATGAGACAGTTCATTCAGAGAATAAAAAGTTACTTTATAATAGCTAGTGAAAGCTTTTAAGCACTCATTGCAAAGTACTTTTAAAAGCCTACACTTAAAGTAATTTTATGGGCTCTCTTGGCTAATGTTTGCAGTCTTGGGTGTGGGGCAAAGTCAAATGAAGAGAAAGAAGGAAGTGGTAGATGAATCGTTCCATGATTACCCGGAAATATGAGATCCCACACAAGTCATTCATCCTGTATCTCTTAAGTGGTTAAATGGATGGATGGATGGATGGATGGATGGATGGATGGATGGATGGATATAAATATAAATAAGTAAAAACCAAGTGCTTGTTTGCCTATGTAATAGGCTACTAGTGCCAGTGATGGCAGAGAAGTTATAGTTTCAGTGCATCATTTTCCAACACAACTCTCATAACAAGACCATTTTATAAGAAAGTAATCTTTACAACAATGACCATATAAATACATATTTTCTAACTGGTTTTAGGTGATCTCCAGTGCAAATGACATTATGTTAAAGTCCTATCATTTATTTCCCTTCTAAAGCTTACATCTGTATATGGAAAGCTGACCCCCCCCCATAAACGCATGTGCCTTGATAGATGCCAAAAGTTGGAAGAAGCACTACCCCCAAAAACCTGCCTATACCTCAAAAAAGTTAATTAGCCATCTTTATAGAATTGCTGCTTTATTTGATAACTATGTCCCTAATGAAGACTACTACGGCCATATCTTAAAAATAAACTAAATTCTACACAGGAGTATAAAGTCCTCAGATAAATTTTCTCATTTTGGCTAGTATTTACAATGGAGACCTTATAAGAGCTGTGGTAGATTTGTGACTCAGCAACTAAAGATGGGCATGAAGATCGTAGACAGGTTCAGGAAATAATCGCAGAGAGGATTTAAAGTGGAAACACATATAATTTTAGAAGGTAGAGGGAACTGGAATTGCTTGATTGCTGTAGGCGGATTTAAGTGGAAGAAAAAAAAAGAGCTTTGGAGTCAGACCTATACTCCATTCAGCACGCCCCACCTGTGTGGCCTTAGCAAGCTACTGAATTTCTATAAGCCTTTTTTCCCCATCTGTATGGGGGAAGAATACCCACCTTTCAGAGTTTCTGAGACTAGTAGAGATGATATGCCATAAGCATAGTAGGTACTCAACAAATACAGTGGTTATTTTTACTGATTCCCAAAGCCTCTGAGTCACCTGTGACTCCTGTTTTTCTCCTATGTGCTCCCACCCCCCTACCCCCCACCCCTCTTATCCTTCAGCAAACTGTGACCTCTCCTTTGGAAATGCACATCCAGAACCCAACCACATCTCGCCACCTCTTTCAACTAAGCCACCATGCTCTCCACCATGAATTCTTCCAGGAGCGGCCTCACAACTTCCACCGCGTCCCCCTACAGCTTATTCTCATGACAACCACCAGCCTGACACTTTTACAATGAAGAGAGATCATGTTACTTCGCCCTCAAAACCCTTCCTGTGGCTTTCCATCTCACTCAAAATGAAGTCCCGGGGCGCCTGGGTGGCTCAGTCGTTAAGGGTCTGCCTTTGGCTCAGGTCATGATCCCAGGGTCCTGAGATCGAGCCCCGCATTGGGCTCCCTGCTCGGCGGGAAGCCTGCTTCTCCCTCTCCCACTCCCCTTGCTTGTGTTCCCTCTCTCGCTGTGTCTCTTTCTGTCAAATAAATAAATAAAATCTTAAAAAAAAAAATGAAGTCCTAACTCCTCCCTCAACCTACCAGGCTCTCTCTGATCTGCCCCTCCCCCCACCTTACTGGGCTTAGCTCCTGCCCTCACCACCACTCACCTCTCTTCAACCACAGTGACCCTTCACCTAAGTGTGCGCAGACCTGCTCTTCCTCCAGAAAGCTAGAGAGCCTAGGGGCTCCCTCCCTCCTTCTGTCTCTGTATAAATGTCACTCAGAGGAGCCTCTGTAAAACAGCAACCCCTATCACAGCCTACCCTCTACCTTCTCGAATCTCTCTTCCCATTAGAATGTCCTGTGAGACTGAGATCCCGCTCCTTGTGCTCACGGCTGTCTGCCCAGTGCCTACGACAGTGTATGGAACACAGCTGCTCCATGACTACTCGTTGGATGGATGAGTAATACTGGCCCCTAAGCCAATAGAGGAATGCAATAGCAAGCGTTCTGGGCTGAAATTCAGAACACCTGGGGCCTGAATTCAGGTCCTGACCTTGATACTCACCACCTGTCTGACCTTGGACAAGACCTAGATCTAGAACATGGGCCTTGTTCTTCCCAGGAAAATGGAAGCCTGGGCCTCCTGCAGCTCTGAGCCCCAGTTATCCTGTGACATGTCAGAGAGACTGTGTGTAATGTATGCTGCCCAACTGTTCCCGTCCTCTCATCTTGCCTGTTGGGAACGGCTCGGGAAATGCATGGGAGTCGAAGCATGAGCTATTTAGCTTTGTGTTCTGGGAGAAAATCTGTGAGGAGTTTAGTAAGCGCCGGGGAGGTTACTGAGGTAGGTAAGGGCTTTGCAAATAGCTCTTTCCCTCTTGTCTTGGAAAGTATCACAGTTGTGATTTTGCCTAAAACTGGGGGTGGGCTAAAACTCCATAAATTTCCAGTTCTACCTGTGATACCAAATACTTTTGTCTTCCTTTGCTTAAAGCAAGTATTATTTGGGGTAGAGGAAATGAAGTTTTACAACATTTCAACAGATGGCGCTGCTGATAGCTATTATAGGACTATAAAAAAATAGATTTCAGCTTTACTAACTTAAATAATCTCATTTTTTAAAAAATTTTATTGCATCCTGGGAAGATACATTAATTTGTTAAGCCTTTTATCTCACCAATACTTCAGAAAAATGAGTAGTTTTAACCGTTTTGTATAGTGAAGCCGGCCCCGACACATGGAATAGTTCAGTCCCCAAAGTTGCCCTACATTAATATATCATGCACTTTTACTCCGTGGTGTCATAGAAAATATGACAAAATGCCTTACTTGGAGGAAAAGAGAAGATCATTTTCACAGAAGTGCAGTCCATTTTGGCTTATGACATAAATACAAACCAATCAGGGAGATCTATGTAGAGATTTTAAATAGATACAATATTGTCTTAAATGATGACACATGTGCAGAGAATATACTGTGATGAATCAGTAGGCATAGAGAAAGATCCGTGTCTACTAGAGCCCAAGGAGAAAATGTTTTTCACAGAACCATAGTCAACATGTTAGAGATGTCGTTTACGCTCATTCATCAGCTTCTTCCACCCCTGACCAATGTTTCCATCTGGTCTTCAAGCAAGATCATTTTAATTACGCAGCCATGCACTTGCTTCTGGGTGTGGTTTCCCTGATTGCATACTTCAGCGCAGATTACAAATATTTGGCAGGATTCCTCCTTCTGTGGGAACCAGACAAGTCATAACACCACTGAACGCTCCACGCTGTTGTGCAGGAAAGAACCGCGTCATCTCGGGTTTCAGAGTGCAGAGTATGAGAAACTCGCTTTGGTTCTGCTCTCCCCTTACAGCCATGTGCCTCCAGCCAGGAAAGGGCTCGTAATTAGAGTTGCAGGCTCCTATTCTGCTGCCACCTCGAGACAAGACCCACAGTCATCGAGAACCATCAAGAAGTCCCCAACCTGGAGTGACATTTGTCTCCGAGAATAGCTCTTTTTCCTCTGCTTTATGGCATGATTACCCAGAATGGGCAGGGGAAGTTAAGATTCGGATATGTGCCAAAAGAAGCCTTCAATATGTGATATTTAAGAACTTACTGCTAAGATTAAGAAGGTTGTCACAAACAGCTTTTAAAAACCTACCAACATTATTAATTAGTAAAGCCAAGAAATGTTAAGTGAAACAGCCATAATTTTTCCTTCAACCCAAGCCTAAAATTTCCATTCTGTGCCCTTCTGGACCCTTTTCACCTTCCTTACTCTTCCTGTTGAATGTTCCTACTACATACCTGCCCAGCCCAAGAGCTCAGTGAGATTGAGCTGTGGGTAAAGGTGAATGGGCCCCTGCAAGGCCTCCCCCGCTGTCAGAATTCAGGAGCCTGTCGACATAAGCCTGGCAACATGAACGTCAGTGATCTGTCACCATAGGAGGAGATGAGGAATATATCACCAACTGACCTTTTAATTACCTTTTAAGGTTAAACAAGTATGTGGTTTTTTTGTTCTTACTTTATTAATAAGACCACTTAGCAAACAAAGAACTTTACTATCTGTATAGTTGAAAACAGGAGAGTAATAACAACACTTGGCATTCCGATACCACTTTTTATCCAGATGTCCCAAGGTGCTTTGCAAACATCAAGCTTGGTCTCCTCACTACCTTCTTCTTTGTAAGGTAGGTTAAGAAAGAAAGAGAGAAAGAAGAAAGAAAGAAAGTAAGAAAGAAAGAGAAGAAAAGGAAGGAAGGAAGGAAGGAAGGAAGGAAGGAAGGAAGGAAGGAAGGAAAGAAAGAAAGAAAGAAAGAAAGAAAGAAAGAAAGAAAGAAAGAAAGAAAGAGAGAGAAAGAAAGAAAGAAGAAAGAAGAAAGAAAGAAAGAAAAAGAAAGAAAGAAATGGAAGGGAGAGAGAAAAGGCAGTTTTGTGTCAGAAGTACTTGAAGGGGAAAAGCAACACTTAAGCCTCAGATCAGCATGGCTTTGGTGAAAGGCAACATTAACACAGATGGATGCAGGGTTATCATTCTAAATGACAACTAAACAGGAAGAGGATTAACAATTTGCTCAGGGTATTTACTTGGTGTCAGGCACCAGGCTTGGCTTTTCCTTCTCCCACACCAGCTTTAATGAGGTATAATTTGTTTAAAATAAAAATTATTCACTTCCAATGTACAATTTGATGAGTTTTGACAATATATACAGTTGTGTAACCATCACTACAGCCAAGATAGAGAACCTGTCCCCAGAAAGTTCTCTCCTGATCCTTTGCAGCTAATCCCTCACTCCACTTTTTGTCACTGTAGTTTTTCCTCTTTAGGATGTCATGTAAGGGGAACCATTCATTTGGAGTCTTTTGTTTGACTTCTCTCACCAAATCTAATGGCTATGAGATTCACCCACATTCTTAGTACGTCAGTAGTCCATCCCTTGATATTGCTGAGTAATATCCCACAATGTGGCTACGTACAGTTTACCCATTCAGCCACTGAGGGCCACTGGGTTGTTTTCTTTTGGAATGATAGGAATGTTGCTGCTAAGAACATTCACATACAAGGTTTGTGTAGACGTGTTTTTATTTCTCTTGGGTAAATACTTGTGAATGGGATCACTGGTTCATATGGGAAGTATATTTTTAACTTTATGGGATACTACCAAACTGTTTTCCAAAGTTGCTCTGCCCTTTTGCCTTCCCACCAGTAATGTCTGAGAGTTCCAGTTGCTCCATATCCTCGTATTTATAGATTATTTCAGTTACTCCCCAGAACAACACTAGAAGTTAAGTATTATTTTTGTTATTCCCATTTTACAAATGAGGAAACAGACCTGAAGAGCCCAAGGGACTTGTGTAAGGTATATAGCTAAGAGATGGCAGATCCCGTGCATGTGAAGCCGGGTCTGTTGATGCCAAAAACCACCTCTCTTTGAATTACGAAATGTACTGTACTTAATTTCAGAAAAACTTGTGTTGGTAATCTACAGGATTTTAGGACAGATGAAATATGGTTAGTTACATGTCAAAAGTCAAGAGCCTACTACTTCATCTCATGAGTCCTAAATACAAAGTTAAGGGTGTGCAAATAATTTTTAACTATTTGAGAAACAAATTTAGGGAAAACACAAGTGAGATGAAAACACCTCTCATGTCTAAAGCTTTTATTCCCCCAAATTGGCATATCCTGTCATTTCTAAATGATACCCACCCACCCACTCCTTGGAACCCATGGGGGTAAATGCTCACATCCTATTTGCTGAAATTAAGAGAAAAGCGAGCACGGAAGCCAGGCTTTCTGGGTCTCCAACATCAGCCTTTCAGCCAGTTTTGGGGGTTAAAATAATTTGTCCTTTGTGACAGGGCTTAAAGCTGATATCCTAAAACCTTTAAAACTAGAGCCATCAGTGGGGTAAAATGCATATTCTAGGAACCAGTCCCCAATGGAAAAGAAGTTAGTGAACTCAGCAGGGTGAGGTTCCTATGTACTCGTCGCACATGTGTTTTCTTTCCCTCCTCTGCATTGTCCATGCAGAGAACCTCTAAGGAACAACCGGACCAATAGTGGTGCTTTCTTTTTTTTTTTTTTTTAAGATTGATTGATTGATTTATCAGTGAGAGGGAGAGAGAGCAGAAGCAGGGAAAGTGGCAGGCAGAGAGAGAAGCAGGCTCCCCGATGAGCAAGGAGCCCGATGCAGGACTTGATCCCAGGACCCTGGGATCATGACCTGAGCCGAAGGCAGAGGCTTAACCGACTGAGCCACCCAGGTGTCCTATGGTGCTTTCTTTATTTGAATTTAAATGTCAGAAGATTTTGCAGGAAAATTCAGATTCCTCTGTCTGAGAAGTCAGAAGACTTTGAACCCTGGGTGCACGGTCCCTCGCTGATGTTGTCTGCCTGCTGGCCGGGCCTAGTGGGCATGTTGCAACCCTGGTCCACACAAGTGGCAAAAATACCAGCATAGTCAAGGAACAAAAACCTGAATCCCTTTAGTTGGGGAGTCTTTGTGAAGCTGATGAGAAATGCTAACAGTTTGCCTAATGTTGGTTGTCACTTTGGTGGGGGTAGAGGGCTGGAGAGGGGAGCCCCAGGAGAACTTCTTTGGGCTTACGACAATACTGGCTTTTTCCTATCTAAAAGTGTGACATGTTTAAAGTGTGCTAAATCTTTGGGGACAGGGGTGTAGACTCCTTTTTCTCTTTTCTTTGTATTTGCCCTAGCATAAGTTACAGAATATAGTAAATAAATCTCACTCACAGTTTCTGAAGTACTGTAAAATCACTCAGATCACTCACAGTTACATCTGCAATTGGGAAGGTAAAATGTAGGTGTTCAGAAAGCATCCACATTTTGGAAGAAAAGAGCATTGCACAAACCTAGAACATTATCAAATACTGAAGGCTGAAAGACTTGTTAAGTGAAAGGTCCATAATTTGGAGCCAGATCTTCTAAGTCTAAATCCCATCATCTTTCCATTAAAAAAAGGGAGGTCAGGTGCCTGGCTGGCTTCTTTTGGAAGAGCATGCAACTCTTGATCTTGGGGTTGTAAGTTCAAGTCCCACATTGGGTGTAGAGATTGCTTAAAAATAAAATCTTGAAAAAAAAAAAACAGAAATTTCCATATGAATATGCTAACTGCAGGTCCACAGCGATCTTTTTATGCAACTTTCAGCACTTTATTAGGGTGTTCAAGGAGACCAGAGGGCTGGTGGGATTTGATTGGTAACCGCCTTTGGTGAAAGCCCTTTTTGTCAGTCAGGCAGCCCGTGCTGTGCACCTAGGTCTGCCACACTCCGTGCTGAGCAGGGAGCCTTTTATAATTTCCCAAACTTCAGATTCTGAACACTATAGGGCTACTTTTTTCTGTGCCATTTTGGAACGTTCCCATGCATGCTACAACACAGCCAGCTGAAAAATAAGTGACTTCTCCAACAATGTGACAAAATTTGCAATGTGATGTCATACATGTCAGTCAAGCAGAAGCTTTTTCACATTCAGACAAGTGCCACCACGTCCAAGTGGCAGGATATCACCAAGAGGTAACTGAGCAGACACGTACCTCTCCCTGCCCTGACATACACCCTGTGCCCATCACCTCTCTGGGGCATGTGTGTACGTGTGTGCGTGCGTGTGTGTGTGTGTGTGTGTGTGTGTGTGTGTGTTGCTTTCTTTTTAGCCACCCTCCTAGGGAGGTAGCAATAAGCGTAAACTGTCAGAAGGAAAAGACCAAGAATTAAGTTATATTATCTTTGGCCCACTTATGTGCCTCTTCTTTAGGAAACATCTTCCAGAGTGATTTGTCATGAAAAGCAGCCTTTTAGGTCACTTTTATCAGTTTGAGAAATGACAAGCACTCTTGAGCACTCACCCTGGTTAGACGTCCTCACAGACTTAGTTCTGTAGTTTGCCTGGTTGGGAACACTCTGAGCAAAGGCATAGGGGAAACTGCTCTGTGATTCTTATAGCTCAGATGTTGCATCTAGAATATATGCCATCAATGACACTTTGCCTTTATAATTCCCTTTAACATGAGGATCTAAAAGAACATTATCAAAGTGACATTACACATTCTGATACAGCTCCCAAGGGAAGGAAGCCAAAGACAGGCACCATTCCTAACATAAAAGATTGAACCACAGTAAAGAATTAGAGCTAAAATCTGAGCTGAGCTTTATGTTGTACAGTATTTCAGAAGACAGAAGATTTAAGAAGAGAAATCAGTATCATAGGCAAAGGGAGTCTGACTGGAGCCCCAAAACATTTCAGTCCTTATTTGGGTCAGGCCCCCATTTATTCACTGTAACTCACCTCCTACCTGTCCTGCTCACTAACCCAGCTACGTAGAACTATGTCTTATCACTCTGGAGGATTCTGGAAGAAGTCAGTTTGGTGAAGGGCCCACGTGTTAGAAATTTGTGTTAGTTACAGAGAAAGGCTTTGTGAGTGAAGGTCACCTCTGAAACTTGGTGACAATGACGATGGTCTGTTGAACATCTGGATGTTAAATACGATCGATTCTCTTAGGAAGTAGAATCTCCTCTCTGTGGCCAACCGAAAATATAATCTACAAAGCAAGTATAATTTCAGTTTACAACACCTAGCCTAATGTGTAAAATTACAGACTAGTTGAAATTAATGATCAATTTGGCAGGTATTTGTGCAATATGACTATAGTTTATCCATGGTACAACATCCAAGAACAATATATTCCATTGTCAACCTTTTATTTTGTTTTCTTTCCTTTTTTTTCCCTTGTCTCCAGGAGACCAATTAATTGTTCAAAGGTAATATATAGAGGAGATTTCAAGAGCATTTACTTTGGCACGGTCTCTGCCCTTTTGTGGTCTGGCTAACAATAAAGCTAAAATTTGTTTTGTAATGATGGTTCCAGTTGGACTGGAATCCCTTTGAAGTTCCTGCATTTTGCTGTTGTGAGAGCTGAAGATATTATTTGATTGCAATAAAACACTCTGTACATTATCAAAATATGGCGCACACTGAACTGTAGCAACTTGCAGTAGCCAAACTCTCCTTGCAAGTGTTTTGCATGAGTGGAGCACATAGCAAATAAAGGTATGCCTTCTTCTACATCCATTTAGTGCTCAGTCATTACTCCATAGGCCATTCATGGACCTTAAGGTTCTGTATTGACCCTGCAAGGTCAATATCAGCAAGTCTGGAGAGCACTCATTTAGGCTATGTGTTACTTTG